TTAACGACTTTTTAATAAACCATCAAAAATAAAAAAGTTACAGGAGGTGGTACTTTATAACTTGAAACCCTATACACAGTTTCTGTTTACGGAAACGCTAATCCGATTAACCCGATCATGAGCTTATTGTTTTCCGTCTTTCTTTAATGAACACGAATGAAAAAAGACAAATTACAATTACATCAGCTGGTGATCGGGTCAATCGGATCAGCGCTATTTGTTCGCGGAGGAATAACCGAACTCTATACTAAAGTACTACATGAAATATGTCTAGAATTCAGAAATGTCAAAATATACCAGTAGCGGGTATAATTTAGAAAAATAAAGTTGATAAGGGTACAGCTCTTCTTGGAACACCCCATATAAAAAAAAATGAAGAGAAAAAATCTCAAACACGTCTTTATTTATTTTATATCGAATTTATTTCATACTTTTATGCACAGGGTGTCCCAAATTCAAGGGCCAGCATGGGTATATCGGGTAACCGTTAGAGATCTGATGGTAGTTAAATTAGTAAAAAGTTTGCGCATTTATGTGCCCAACCAGTTTGCCAGTAAGATATTTAAAAAAAAATCTATACCTACCTATTTCTGATTTTTCGTATATTCGCGTCATGTAATCGCGTACATTGACGTCATCAAATTACGTATTTTTTTGTACTTCAAAAAATGACGTCTGTGACATAAGGGGTTTTCGAGCGCTTGACCGGTAAATACCATTTACTGTGGGTATTTACCAATTTAATTTATGCGGTTTGGTAATTCGTGGTCATTACCTAAAAACGAGCCCTTGGTCTTCGTTTTGACGTTATTCTTCGACATTGACAAGCAGTGGTATTTACCGGTATTTACACAACTTCCGACCTGTTTTTCACCTCCCACCATTTAGGCAATGGCAGCAAATATCCAGTTAAGTTCTCCAAAATTTTATAGAGGGCGCGAGTGAACTTGGAGTGCTTCAAATTTTGGCGGGAAATGTCAAAGATTTTAAACTGTTCAAATTGAGTAGAAGGAAAGATGACTGCAATATGAACAATGGACAATGAATGAGTTAAAATATCTTGCAAAGCATTCAGTGGCCCTTAGAGAATATTTTTAAAAGTGTCAGCGTCAGCTTGTCTTGAAATCACACATCAGATTTAACTTTTGAGGTTAAAATTACAATCAATTATTTACGCGCCAAAATTTAAATAGCTCCAAGTACAGGAAGCGCCCTCTTCAACTCAACTGTCAATATTATATGCCATTCAATTCATCTGTCAAAAAGGAAAATTCAATATGGCATGGCGGCCAAGCAAGTTTGTTTTGAATATGTTTTTATGCGTATTTTAAATTATTTTGCTTAGAGTTTTGCTTGCAACTTTGATTTTGATTATTTGATGAAATATTTGTTGATCATGTACGTTAACTATTAAATCGGGCAGAAACTAGATATTTTTTTGTATTTTTTGGCCCATGTGTGGCCGCCACGCCATCTTGGATGTCACGTGGTTTGAATTGCCTATTTCTGTTGATGACAATTGACTTGTGTTAGTCCAGTGGTCCAGTCCCAGTTTCAGTATTTTAAATTTGTAATTTAAAATACTGAAAAAGAATTCACTCCCTTAGAATTCTGCGCCTACCGGTAGGTCCTGTTTGTTTCATTCATTGTGAGCCTACCGTATGTATAACGCTAAAACATTATGGAAGGTCCCCAATTACCATATAATATAACGCCTATCGGTAGGTACTGTTTATAAAAAAAATCCTGAACCTACCGGTAGGTTTATATTAATTTAAGAATCCTGCGCCTACCAGCTATTTGTACCGCTACAACTTAAGGGAAATTTAATCTCAGTGGAGTTTTGAATATGACTCTTATAGAAACAAAAGTCACATTCTAAATTAAATATCCCTTAAGTGATAGCCGTGCAAATAGCCATAAAGTACCATTTGGGATTTTTTTAGGAAAAAATCTGATAGCAGATTCTTGTTTAGAATGGTCTAAAAACCCAAATGTACTAATTTTTGTTTCAATATGTTACAGGGTTAAAATTTTCGAATTAGAACATCCTTAAAACTTGTAGTAAACTTACCTATATCTCAAAATATAACATTTTTGCGATTTGATTCATGAAATTGTGAAAATTTGTTGTCATCACCCTGTATCGTACCTATTGAAACAAAAATTAGCACATTTGGTTTTTAGACCATTCTAAACAAAAATCTGCTATCAGATTTCTCCTAAAAAAATCCCTAATAGTATACTTATTGAAATTTGAGCCTATAAATGAGGACACCCTATGCACCAGTATAGCTGCAGAAATAAAATTATTGAGCCAAATTCGAGTCGATATAAGACAAAAAAATATTAATTGAATGGGTTGAAAAATGAAAATTTTCGAAGGGTGGTCAGTCCTTAAGCGGGACACACTGTATATATTGTTACACCGTTATAACTAATTAAAAATAGGCACCTAATATATGGAAATATTGATCAAAATTGTAACAATGAAATTTCGACACGTCAAATTTATTGACAGGACAACGTTAAAGGCCGAAACTCACTAGCAACACGCCACGTCATACTTCGCCACGCCACGCCATGTGACGAAAATGTATGCGTATATTCTTCCATTTATTTATATGTGCCACGTACACACTTGCCTCACGCGATACCACGTCATGGCACTCCACGCCATCCTTCCATTTACACACAAACTGTCCCACGTGAACCTGTGTCACATGGCGTAGTATGGCGTGGCGTGTTGCTAGTGGGTTTCGGCCTTAACAACTTCATTGTTTCCATGAGTTTTTGATATTTTTATAAAAATGCAAATCTTGTACCTAATCAATTAGTTAAGATAAAGTATGTCAAAAAGGGCTGCAGCTCAGCTCAACCAAAATGTCATCAATATACTTACAATATATGTATATTTTTGAAATCACGAAAAGAATAGTATATTGTTGTATTAGGAGTAGAAGCTTTACTTTTTTGTGCTAAAGCAGTAGGTTTGCGAGCCGAACGTAGTGAGGCTTGCAATACTGCTGAAGCACAAAAAAGTGCTTCTACTCCGTATGCAACACGCTATTTTTTCTCCAAACAAATGGGGTAAGCTCGGGGGTAACTGAATGGTTAAGCGGCAGTAAAAGTACGAGCGGCACTAAAAGTACTTTTGCTGTCGCTCCAGCGGCACTAAAAGTACTTTTGCTGCCGCTGGGGTTGCCAAGCAGCATAGAAATTGAATTTCTACCACCTCGACAGGTGTTAACCTGCTGGATTTGCCTACCAGCATAGAAATTAAACTTCTGACATCTTGACAGAAGTTAACAAAGTGGCGTTTCTTTGACGTTTGGAGAAAAAATATTTTATTTTAGAGCATAAGATACACGGTCAAGTACGAGGTCAAGTACTATATTTAAAAAAAGACTTTGCATGTTTTTGGTGCATTTACGCATCCAAGGATCTTCTTTTTGAGATTTGGCGAGCGCATAGCGAGCAATCGGAGACTCAAAAATGATTTACAAGAAAGTTGAAAAAAGGGGTTCCACGTTTTTGGGTTATTCACGCTTCCAAGAATCTTTTCTTTCAAGTTGTCGAGCGGAGCGAGCAATCAGACTTAAAAATAATTCAAATTTCAAGCCGTTATATTATTGATAAAGGTTTTTCATATTTCTGGTGGAAGGTTTTTCTCGTTTTTGGTGGATTTACATTTCTGAGAACATTCTCTTTGAGGCTTGGCGAGCGTAGCGAGCAATCGAAGATTTAAAGATAACTTCAAGGTGCGTGCCAGAAGGATTTTGAATAGGTTGCCGTCTGGAATGAAGCAGAGCAGATTCCAAACATCAACAAGTTTAAAACCCAAGATAGAAAGATGTTAAGGTACTATTAGAGGCCTATTACTCAGTGGACGAATTTCTTGATATCAATTCTAAAAAAAAAAAAAAAAATTACTAAAGTATTTAGTAACAGCTGACTGGTAGGACATACGAATTCTAAAGTAATAACACACTTTCCAGTAGGCGCTCGATCAATTGACAAAAAAGGACCTACCAGTAGGCGCACAATCGGTGGATGAAAAAGAACCTACTGGTAGGCGTATGATTGTTGGATAACAAAGGACCTACCGGTAGGCGTAGGATTCACTCCCTTTAAATAATCATCATGGATAGAAGAGAAAGGTTCCAAATCCTCTTGAACTATGAGGGAAAAGATATTCAACGTCAACGATATGGATACAGCCCAAGGATTATTAAATGCATCTTCATCTTTGAAAGAAACGAGCGAACCAGAAAATAGAAAATTAATTGGAAAATAATAAAAATATAATTGTTTGGTTAGAGCTTAAAATATAAACAAATACAAGGGGATTAAGGGGAAGGGAGAAGCAGACAAATTTGACAAATCAAAACCAAAATGATAACTAACAACCAACTAATTTCAAGCGTTTTGGAAGTGCTTTGACCATAAACTGTCAAACAAACGTCAAAGGACTGTGACCCAGGACAACCAAGGGCATGACTGCGGTATTTACCGGACAAGCGCTCGAAATCCCCTATAGTTACGTGATTCTATGGTCATTTTGAAAGGTGAAAATAACGCAAAATATGACGAAAAAAAGTCGTCAAATTGACGTCAACAGGGGGATTTGACCATCGAATTTCGGACACCCTGTACACACAATAAGAGCTGGTATTTTCAAACTATATATTTTGACAAATAACTAAAAGTTAATTTCTGGAATGACGTCATAGATTTTTAGTAATTATTCTCAAAATAGTTTCATAAAATACTCAAAAACCCTGATGTATAAAATCAAAGGCAATTATTTGAATGAGCTTACCGCATAAGAGAAACCCCTTCATTGAAGCAAATAAATATAAATAAAGCACACCTTTTCTAACTTATTCCACTTCTAGCACTACACTGAATACAATTAGCTATAATTAAGTTAACTTCCTTCAATAAAAGGGAAGTTACTTATATAGGGGCAAACTATACAACTATAAATTATTACTTACCGCTAGCGTAAATTTCCATTTTGTTCTTCAAATAATGAAAAGAAGCCGCAGTGGCATTAATCAACACGTTTAATCCGTACATATTTTCAATTAAATTTAACTATTTACAAAAAAAAATTGACTATAGAAAAGTATTGTAATTGTTTGGCTACTTTTTTAGTGCGCGCTCATTATTTTAGTAGCTTTTTTGTACCGGGGCTAATTAATCGAACCGCGATAAATAAACTATAGGGAAATTATTATAATTTAAAAAACTAAAAACGTGGCTTTCGACTGCATTTTTACGGGGACGATGCGGATTTGTCGGATTTCAACCCCTCTGTGACGTTTGCCATCGACCACTTTTTGTTCGGCGGCCCCCCCGAAGCGATTTGACAACCCTCTTTAAAAACAATGTTGCCAATAGTTTGAGGCTTTAAATTATCATAATTTTATTGTCTTGAAGTCATTTTTTTTTTGTTTTAATTAGTTTTTTGAATTCAAATTTTTTTAAAATTATGTTGGTTTTTGGAGGCAACGGAATTGGTTGGGGTGTAGTAGGAGAGATGGCGCTGGCGGTTTTGTAGCGCTTTCTTTTTATCAACAGCAGTGGGGTACTAATTTACTCTTTCTTGACAATAGGGCAACTTTTCCATACTTATCAATTAATTAAGATTTTGTCTATTCCAGGCTCTTGAATTTACTTTAATCCAAATTTTCTATTGTAAACTGTGAAATTTCCTGAAGCTGCATTGAAATTCAAAATGTTGCTGGAAAACGTCTTGGAACGTTCTGAATTTTTGAGTATTTTAGAGCCCTAATAAAGGTCAAGCGTTCTAAATTGATTCAAAAGAGTTTTAAAAGGTTTCTAGTTCTGAATTGAATCCTAATTGTTCTAAAATAAAATAACTTTAAAGTTTCCAAATTGTTCCAAAATACTTCTGAAAATTCTGATTTGAATTTGAACTGTTTTATGCCCGATTGCACCGTCTCTCTTAACTTAACTGGCTTAGAGATAACTATTCCTTAAAGTGACATTTTCCCATGCAAAACTGTCAATTTAAGGGATAGTTATCGTTAAGCCTCAGTTAAGAGAGATGGTGCAATCGGGCATAAGATGCTTATTATTAAAGGTCTAATAAAGTTCTACAGCAATCTAAATTCGCCCTTAAAAGCCATCTTATGAAATGCGTTTTGTAACTTTCAACCAGGGTGAGTTCTCATGAGCGTAAGTTGACATTTCTGACGTAATCACGTGATAATATGGTGTAATATGATTGGTAAAATCTCCAGCATGGCGAATATTTTACCAATAAAATCCAACCATTTTATCACGTGATTACGCCATAAATGTCAACTTACGCTCATGAGAACTCGCCCTGAATCTTAAGATTCTGGCGCTTTTTAAAATGTTTTTCGCTCCAAAACGTCTTAAAGTGGGTCTCAAACTTCTGAATTGTTCTAAAATGCTTGGGGGCACTCTAAAATGGTTCTGAATTTTCCGAAATGTTCCGAATCGCTGCAGAATGCTTTAGAACTTTAAAAAAGGTTTATTAAAGATCTAAAGTGTTTTGTAGCATTTTAAAATGGTTTCCAGTAACTTCTAATTTCAATGAGAAACTATTTTTGTAGATATCTTACAGACATCCCTATGTCCACAAACGACATTCAAGACATCTTGCTTACGTCTTAAGCCAGGGACACATCTATCATGCATTCTTCCGATCCGACTCCGATCATACAATCAAGGTCCTTATTCTTGGAACAGGGGAGCAGCGGAACACTCGTTCTCCTGGGAACGCTGCTTTCTGTTCCAAGAATAAGGACCCTGATTGTATGATCGGAGTCGGATCGGAAGAATGCATGATAGATGTGTCCCGGGCTTTAAAGACGTCTAAGTACTAAAGTAGTCATATTACAAAACCCAACGCATTCTAGACGTCTTTAGAACTAAAACATATTCTTAAGATGTCTTCAACAAGATGTCCTAACTAAAGAAGCCTCTGAATCTCCTTTAGGCCCGGTAGTACGTCTTTTTTCAGTCTTCAGACATTCAGACATATTAGACGTACCTAATGCAGACCTAAAAAAGACGTCTTTTGTGCGCTGTCTGGGTAATTGCAACTGAGTAGGTACCTATAGAAAGTTTAAAAATTTGTTACACTTGTCAGAAATCCCCGATCGACAATTTTCTCAAAGACAATCAATTTCCACATCAGGTTTTTTTGATATTTTCAGATCCAGAAAGTGGAACTTTCGGGAAAACTGTTGATGCAAGTGTTCGCGTATTAATTAATAAACCAAAAGAAAAATATTTTCCACTAGTTTAAGTTTATTATTATGTGGGATGTTCTATGCAAATGTTCCTCCTATAAGTATCCCATAAAAATCCTGAATGTGTGGGATTATTGAAGATAATTCTAGGAATAATTTAATAGAACATTCCTTAGTACATCCATTTTGATGACAACAGCTTCTTCTGGAATGTTCCAGCATTTTAATAGAATCTTCCAGGAATATTCTGAATGTATCAACCAGATATTCTTTGAATATTTCGGGAAAGTCTTTGTGTTATTAGGAAAAGATGATTTCCTCAGGAATTTTATGATTTTCTCAGGTATCAATAAGTAAAATAATCGGTAACTTTTGGTTATGAATTTCGTTTTATATCAACTTCCAATTTGTTTTGTATCATGAAAAAACTCTGATTAATAAATCCTGAAAGTTTCAAAATGATGCGATGGCTCAAAGTATTTTTCAGGAACTTTCAAAGGTGATTTCACAGGAATTTTATAACTTTCTCGTATCAATGAGTAAAAGAATCCGTAACTTTGGTTATGAGTTTCATATCAACTTCCAACCACAAGCCCGGAAAAAGTTCATCATCAGCTTCCAACTTGTTTTGTGTGATAAAAAAACTCTATTCAATAAATTCTGAAAGTTTCAAGTTACTGTGATGGTTGAAAGTATTTTTCAGGAACATTCAAAGGTGATTTTACAAGAATTTTATGATATTATCAAGTATCAATGAGTGAAAAAATCCGTAACTTTGGTTGTGAGTCTCATATCAACTTTAAACTCGTTTTCTATCAAGGGAAAACTCTAATTAATAAATCCTAAAAGGTTCAAGTTGCTGTTATGGCTCAAAGTATTTTTCAGGAACCTTCACAGATGATTTTACAGAGGAATGTTATGACTTTCTCATGTATCAATGAGTAACAGAATCAGTAACTTTGGTTGTAAGTTTTATTTCAACTTCAAACTTGTTTTGTATTAAGAAAAAACTCTAATTAATAAATCCTGGAAGTTTCAAGATGCGGTGATGGCTCAAAGTATTTTTCAGGAACCTTCAAAGCTGATTTTACAGGTATTTTATGATTTTCTCAAACATCATCATGAATAAAAAAAGCCGTAACTTTGACTGTGAGTTTTATATCAACTTCCAATTTGTTTTGTATCATGAAAAAACTCTAATTAATAAATCCTGAAAGTTTCAAGTTACTATCGATGGCTAAATTATTTTTCAGGTACCTCCAAAGGCGATTTTACAGAAATTTTATGATTTTCTCAAGTAGGTATCAACGAGGAACAAACCTACTTCCAACTTGAAAATTTCAATCTTCCCTATATCTATCTACTGGCAAAATTTCAATCCAAATTTTCATTAAAAAAATAAAGCGTTCCTCAGTGTCGTGTTTTGAGAATTCCATATATTTTCCATAATACCATTGATAGACATTTAGCTTCACAACTTTGTTGATTTCAATTCGATCTTAACGTAATTAGGCTCAAATTCGCTGGAAAGAAAATAAAGAATACCCTTGACTAAAGAAACTTAAAAAAACAAAATTTATATACAAAAATATACAAAATATAAAATTATACAGATCACGCCTTATTCAATTGAGCACAATTCAGCTAAATATTTCACTGCACATCAAATCATTTTTCCTATTCAAAGCATAAGTTGATCCAGGAAGATCCATTTTCCTATTCAGAGCGAATTTCTTTTCGTATTTGCCAGTCGGAATTGATTCAAGTTTTGCAATACTATGCCTGGAATTTAATAAAAATAATTTTCGTCTCTTATTATTCAACAAACCAAGTTACCTGAAAATTGAATCAGGCTGCGACAATCTCATGCACAACTTCACATTATCAGAAAAATCAGCATCAATTTCCAAATTCAATTTCGGTTCTACTGAGCCTTCGAATTCAAGTTGGCTCTTTACGAAATCTGTATCCACTTTTATGCAACCTTTTGTTACATATCCAACCCTAAAATTAACAATAGTTTATAGTTATTACAAACATTTACAAACTGCAGCAAAGGATTTAAACATTTTGATATAAAAAGCAACCAAAAAGAATTATTCTTATTCCCAAAACATGACGTATTTTACTCCTGATTCCAATATTTGCTGCATTGTCATTGTCTGCTCTTAGTGGGAGGAAAGCTGCTGGTACAATTAACTATTATTTAGTACTTACGATTTTTTAATTAGACTTTGCGCGTTCCTATTCCAAATTGAAACCTCAATTTTTCCAGACAAATCAAACGAAACCGCTCCTTTTAGGTTTATCTGGACCAAAAACCCATTGCCAAGTCTCAGATAATCTTCGTGGTCTTGCACCAAGATTAAGGCCTAATGGAAAAATAGATTCATAAAAAAAATAAAACATTGAAAATTCTTTACCTGGAAAGCTGGAGTAATTTCTGAAGCTGTACCAGACCAAACGTGCCCCATCAGCTCGCCACTACCTTCGAAAAACACAAAAGGCCTTATTTGAGTACCCATTAAAGTAAGTTCCATGCCTGCTATTGAATTTTCTTCATCTTCAGTTTCAGTAGTAGAACTGCTTGAAGTGAAACTACTCAAGCCTCCAGCAAAAATACCTAACTAGAAATAGAGTGTTATTGGTAGGTAATTCAAAATGAAAAACTAATTTACCGTAAATAGCTCCTTGGAAATTCCGTTTTTATCCAAAACCACATCAACCACGCCTCGTTTCACTATTCCAGCTTTGATTTCTTGCACTGAAATAAGGCTCCCATTAACAGAAGCCCCTTTAAAAATGCTTCTTCTCAATGCTGTAGATAAACCTCTGGGTGCCAAAGCTGAATAGTTGTTAAGCTTTTTACTATTCTTAATTATATTTTGCAGCTTACTATTGAACAGCTCATATTTATCTGCCATCATTTTGACGCTTTGAAACACGTATTGTTTGATTTCGAAATTTGTTTCGTTTGAGGCTGCAAAGTAAAGCAAATCTTGCAAAGTTGTTTCAGTTGGTTTGGATTCAAGTAGTAAATCTGCTGCCAAAGTTCTAGAGCTTGTATCATGTGCCTTATCGAGTTGATACAAGGTTTTTTTTGCTAATTTTAAAAGATCGGTAGTCCAGAATTTCTTGCCAAAGGCCTTCAAAGCCCTCCAAGCTAAAACTTCTTCCTTCAAAGAGCCACTTTGAAGAATTTGCATTAATTTTGGTATAGTTGAAGGCGATTGTAAGTTTTTTAAAGCATTCAAATAAACAAAACGTTCGATGTCTTTAGCATAATCTAGTCCGTTTATTATGGCTTCTTCAATGTTTCTTAAAACTTTTGAAGTTTGGTAATCGTGTTTTTGGCTTGAAGCTAAAGTCCTAGCCAAAGAGGCCAGCGATAATATTAAAGTGTCTCGAACTTTGGCAGGTATTTGCGAGTATTTTTTGAATTTGTTCAATAAATCTTCGACTATTTCGATGTTTGGGTGAGTGGAAAAGGACAAGGCCCAAAGGTACCGCTCGATTTGATCGGTGTGTTCTTCGCTGTCCAAATGGAGGGTTTTCATGACGGCCTTGTGCGAGTTTTGAGTTTGAGCGTAACCGAGAATATCGTAAAGTTGGAGCCTAAAGAAATTATGATTTCATTTTTCAATAAGTATAAAAATTCCTAACTAAAAAACCCAATTCAAACTTACACAACATCTTTATTCTTCTTGGAACTCAACGTTTTGGAAATATCATCCTTACTAGCAGTTCTAGCAATGCTCAACAAGTCCAAAAACGCCTTGGCCGATTTAATGCTTCCCAAATGCTGATTCCTCAAATGCTCCCTGACTAAACCAACTTCCTTATTAAATTGCTTATGATTTTGCTTCGAATCTGCTTCAGTTATCAGCGATGCTTCTGTTAAATCTTTAGCAGCTTCGCTTAAAGCTATTTCAATAGTTGCAGCATTCATTTTAGTGATTGTAATTGTTCCTTGATGAATTATTATTTGTTCTGATTTAATAATGCTTCCCAATTGTTGTTTGGCTTCAATAAATATTTCATGACGCTCTTTGGATGTTATAGTTTTAACTATTTTGTCATCATAGGTATATTCATTAATTCTTTCAGATAGTATTTTGGTGCCTAAAATTTCATCAGAATGCTTAAGGCTTTCAAGATCATCATAAAAGCAATCAGATTTGGTTTTTCGTTGAATCAAATGAGATGATACGTTGCAATGGCCTGAAGCATCGGTTTCAGACGCACCTGGTTCAAAATTAAGCTAAAATTTATAGTTTGTATAGAATTTTTCTAAGTAGTTTGGGAGATTTACCTGGAATAAACTAGCAATGCCTCGTTTAAGGTTTTTTGAAGCTATTTTGTCCTGTTTTGGTAGGAAAAAACGCTCAATAGCTCCATTTTTCAATACAATTATAAATGGATTTTTGTCCAAATCCAATTTTGAATTTGCAATATTGGATTTGGGTTGAATTTTTGGCTCAACTACCTACAAATGTATGTTAAGTTTTTTGTAATAATAATAACTAATCTACCTCTAATTTCAGTAATGTCCATTCTTCATTTTGCCACAAGGAATTCACATTTAGCTGACCCTCTAATAAAAATCCAATTTCCCTACTATTAGCTTCGATTTCATTTAAAATCACACTGGATTTCCATCGGTAAATACTTGTTTCTCCTGCAGGGAAAAATTTGAAATTCGAACCTGCAGCCGAAGATATTAGTACGAATCCTGAACAAAGCGTGCAAAAAGTTGTATAAATCAAATACAAATTTATCCTAGAAGACATTTTTAGTCGTAAACTCTTAACTGAATGATGATGGGTGCATTATTGATATTTATAATCTTTGCCTTATCATTATTTGAAGGTTGAAGGTTGAATTGATTAGTTTTTGTTTATCTCTTGGGTTCCTACAGATAAAAGCAACAAAATTTGGTTACTTTGTAAGATTAGAAGTACTTTAGAGGTACCTACCTTTAATTTAAAAAATCACTATTTTAGCACTGACTTCATTCTTTTACTAAAATATAATATGTGGGACATCCACACAAGAGCTCGATGGTACCTGGCGGCAGGATGGTACCGTTAAAAAACAGTTTTATTATTCCGATGTTCTTTGAACCCGCTGCAAGAAAGACTTTGACAATAATAATTAAATAAATTGTTGGACCACAGTCCAATGCTTGTTAAGCCATAAATTGGCTCAAATTAAACCTAATTGTAGATGTAGTAGGTAGGTACTACAAGAAATATATTGCAGTTATTATGTTAGTGATTGACGATTTTAAACATAGATGGAAGTCTATTCTACAAAATGCTGAAAGGAGTAGTGCAGAAAATTTACTTGTACTTATATGCTTGTAATGCAAAATCACATTTTATATTAAAACACAAATTACAATAAATGAAAATCATATTTGTTTGGTTTCAGCAGCAGAATCATCAGCAGAAAGCTCAACGATTTTAGGTTCTTCAGCAATATTATTTGCTTCAACTACTGCTTCAATTTTTTTTTTAGATTTTCGTCCTTTTTTCTTATGCCATTCAGTTTGAGTTCTCGGAGTTGATTTGCAATTCTTGGCCATCAAGATAAATGGAGCTTTTTCCTGTTCGCTCATGCTTCTCCATGCGTGACCACCCAATTGGGCAATTTTGGGTGCCGACAAGCCGACTTTTGTGGTCCTAAACTGTCCTAGGAAGTTTAAAAACGGGTTCTTGGTAACTTTGCCTTTTTGCCGTTTCGATTTTGTGATGGAAATGTCATTTTTACTGGACGTTGATTTTCCCATTATGAATTTTGATTGTCTATCGACGGTAGTTTTAAAGAATTTGATTTTGGTTCTATAGTAATTTTGCTAGAAATGCCAAAACATTGTCATTTTTAGCTGGTAATTTTATTATTCTCAATGGGGATAGAGTCACAGAACTTGGGCCCTGTCATGCCTTTTTTAGGTATTTTTCTTGTAGAGTTGGGCTGTAAACTGATTGTGCGGAAGTTATTATTATATTATATAAGTTTATCAAGAACATAAGTATGGGACAGAAAACAAGTTAAACGAAAAAAAAAATTCTAAAAATTTAGGAACTTTTTATTTAAACAAAAAGAAATACATCATAGTAGTACCGCACTGCACTGATACTGTCCGTACTCCACCGACAAGTGACATAAATTATCTGAGTCTGGAAGACAATAGGCAATTTTTTACGAGGATAACCAAGCAAAATCTTTTGCTGGATTATATGATGTGTCATATGTGTCATACTCCCCTACATTGTTGCCAATAGGGTAGTGGACAAGGTATAATTTTGATGAAATCGATGGCCCATTCTTTATCTATGAAGTAAATAAAAAATATTCGTATCAAAAGAAATTTCAGAACAAAATTCTAACTCTGTTTAAAACGGCTATGAAACTGGAGTTTTGGGACACACTATTCAAACGAAAATATTTCGCGCCTTGATTTTACGTCATAACTGCTGTATTTGAGTATGAAATGAATAAAACCTTGGTCCTATATTCGACACACACTTACTCATTAGTGCAAAAGAGAGAGATATCAGCGTATGTCGGGTATCATTACATTTAGGCGCACCCTCAACATAACCCCACTTTTTGAGAGATTTCCATTTGTCAATCAGAGCGGTCTGAGTTTATCTGCATCTTTTTCTAAAAGCATATAAAATATAAGGACACGCAGACCGCACTCTCGCCACTCTTATTAATGTCAGAAACAACAGCTATGACGTAATTTCCGGGCGGTAAATTATAGCGTTTAATGGCCATTTGCACCGAACATTTTAAGGGAGGTTTAATGATAATCAACGTTTAAAGTGACGTTTTCACATGCAAAAGTGTCACTTTTAAACGTTGATTATCGTTAAACCTTCCTCAAAATGGTCGGTGCAAATGACCATATAAAATAGGTAAAAATTTGTTAATTTTTTTTTAGGTTTATTTTTGTTTTCTGAAATCAAAGAATCATCAACTACTATTTATTTTGTTATGGAGATTAATAAAAAAAAATATTTCAAAAAATTGTCCACTACCCTATTGCGGATCAATTATTATAGTATAGAACGCTACAAAATTATAGTACATTTGTACAAATTATAGTATCCTGTTGTTTCCATTCCATTCCAAAAAAAGGAATTTAGAGCCGTTAGAGGCATTCTTCCGTATACGGTATTAACGAAAAATTGCGCATATTGAAGTAGGAAAATGGAAAATATGTACTAGTAAAATAACAACAAGGTATAAATAAAAAATAAAATTTATACTAGCTTCAGGGCCGGTTTATCAATAGCAAGTCACCCCTGGGTTGAGCGTAGGTAACTCCAGGGTAAACATTGCAACTGGATACGTTTACCCAGAAGTTAAAACCAACCCGGCGGAGGTAACTCGCTATTGAGAAACCGACCCTGAGAAGTTAATAATGCTCCATTCATAGTAGTACTTGTAGCTGTTTTGTTGCGTAACTTTATTTGAATAGGGTTTGCATTTGAAAATTTTCTCTGGCACTTTGCGTTGGGATGGGGAATCGAAAGAACTGGCAGGGATCGTTGCGTTGCATTCACGTAGTGGATAAGGTGCTGGCTGACGCTGATGACCTCGTCTCGTATCCCACTGATGGCCGTGAATTTTTTTTTTGCAATTATTTTCCAGTAAAAAACTAAATAATTTAATAATGCATCATTATAGTATTTTAGGCGTACTATAATGACCTTTGATAGTACATAGTACCATTCAATTATAGTACAAATACTATAATTATAGTACGGTTGGCAACACTGCTCCCCTAACTCCCCCACCATCAAATTCTGGGATACTCGAGGATCAAGAACACCTAATTTCTTCTGAGAGAACAGACCGAAAATCACCTTTTCTACATTTTAAATCGACGAAAAATTTAACACTAGCACAGCCTGAATCGCAAGCATTCCATCGAGGTATGCGGGTGACGTCATCACTACAAGCGGCTGATAGTAGTGACGACATTCTACTAGAATTTCTTTTTTATGACGTCAGGTTGCCTAACAATTGTCATCATCGCCTGTACTGTACGCGATAAATGTGTCGCGGATGACGTCATGAAAGTGGAATTCTACTTGTCATGATTCCAGCCCTGGATTCCCTACAGGGCCTTTATTGTCGAAACAGGAGATTAGCGTTCTGTCTTAGTTGCCCATATTCTTATTTCCATAACACTGACAAAGACAGAGCAATCGTTCTTTCTCGTGAAAACGCTGTTCCCCGGTTTCAAGAATAGGCATCCTGGTATACAACGTTGCCGTCTCTTTCAAAATTTAATTTTCGTATTTTTTTTTATATCTACGAGTTTATTTTTTTTTATCGGTCCCTTTAGAATCTGGTTGTGTGGGGGCCCTTCAGCTCTGGGGGCCCGACGCACAGTGCGTCGTTTGCTTCATGCTAGATCATTAGTTTAAAAACTGCACGTTTCAGATGAATGTCTTACTTGAACTATCCAATAGTATATATTGGTGAGTAGATAGCTGCGGGACGAGCGCAGCATAAGTTCCGCAACAATCCACTTATTTGTACTTGAACAATAACTTATATAAAGTCAGAATTTGTAAGATTATCTACTTTTTGTCAATTCGCCTTTCAACAGGAATTAGTAGGTAATGTTACTTTACCAAACTAGTAATATATTGTGACTTATGGGTGTACCCAGCCATCTATTCACCAATATGCAGTTCAAGTATGCAATACTAACCTGATTCACTCAGTTGTGAATTTTTCTCATCAGTTCAAAAACTACACGTTTCAGGTGAATGTCTTATATTTGAACAGTTCAACAATATATTGGTGAGTAGATGGCTGCGGAACTCGCTGCGCTCGTCCCGCAGAGGTCCACCATAAGTTCCGCGACAATCCACTTATTTGTACTTGAACAATAACTTATTATATCAAGTCAAAATTTGTAAGATTATCCACTTTTTGTCACTTTGCCTTTCAACAGGAATTAGTAATGTTACTTTACCAAACTAGTAATATAATGTGACAAGTTATTCAAGTACAAATGAGTGAATTGTTGCGGAACTTATGATGGGTGGACGTATGCGGGACGAGCGAAGCGAGTTCCGCAGCCATTTATTCATTAATATGTTGTTTAATTACGGAACTAACCTGACTCACTCAAATGTGAGTTATTCTCATTAGTTTGAAAAGTACACGTTTCAGGTGAATGTCTTTACCAAACTAGTAACATAATCTGACAAGTTATTTAAGTACAAATGGGTGGATTGTTGCGGAACTTATGGGTGGACCCAGCCTTATTTATTCATCAATATGTTATTTAAGCACAGCTTCTTTAAGTACAATACTAACCTATGATTCACTCAGTTGTGAATTTTTCTCATTAGTTCAAAAACTACACGTTAAAGGTGAGTGTCTTATTTGAACAGTTCAACAGTATATTGGTGAGTAGATGGCTGCGGAACTCGCTGCGCTCGTCCCGCAGAGGTCCACCCATAAGTTCCGCAATAATCCACTTATTTGTACAGGGTGCTGCAATTTGGAGTGATTTAACAGGAAAAACACACTTCCAGACCAGATAGAGGAAAATTGACTTAGATGTCATGGGATCGATTTTCGAGAAACGTCAATTGTCAAAAACCGTATCGCGATATCTTCAATGGAACCATTAATACAGGGCGATTTTCGATTTTCCCCTATTATGAAAAATGGCTATAAGTTTTTTATTTATCAATTTTTTTCATTTCTGTGAAAACATTATGGAGACACTTTTTTGAGCACAATCCAGTGGCGGACTCGGTTTTTTTCTATATCGCTCCGATTTCGAGATATCGACCAAATTCCGATATTTTCAAACGAAACATCCTTTATATTAATAGCTCATTGGATAGCTCTGTTTTTGTTGATTTCAATGATATAAGAGACCTTTCTCACTTTCCTTACACATATAAAATCCTTTTCTCACACATTGGTCCTTACGACAAAAACAGAAATAATTTTTTTTCTCGAAAACTATTAGAGATAAACCTATCGAACTTTATATCATTAAAATCAGCAAAACCAGAGCTATCCAATGAGCTCTTAAAATAAAGGATGTTTCATTTGAAAATATCGGAATTTAGTCGAGATCTCGAAATCGGAGCGATATAGAAAAAAACCGAGTCCGCCACTAGATTGTGCTCAAAAAAGTGTCTCCATTATGTTTTTACAGAAATGAAAAAAATTGATAAATAAAAAACTTAGTCATTTTTCATAATAGGGGAAAATCGAAAATCGCCCTGTATTAAGGGTACCATTGAAGATATCGCGATACGGTTTTTGACAATCGACGTTTCTCGAAAATCGATCCCATGACATCTTTGTCAATTTTCCTCTATCTGGTCGGGAAGTGTGTTTTTCCTGTTAAAACACTCCAAATTGCAGCACCCTGTACAGGGTGTTTTTTTATATATTGACACCCCACCTACAGCCTTTACCTTTACAGGTAGAAGAAAGGTGTAAATACAAAAGTTGTACAGTTTTGGCTGAATTTTTAGAAACCATTTACGTCCGAAGAATGTTAGAAATGTGAAATTTTGCATGCTTCCAGCTTTTTTTAAATGAGATGCCCTATATTTCATTCCTATATTCTTGAAGAGCACAATATATGGCCCCGATCTATATATATATATTTTGATTGAGCAATCTCTCATATATTCGGCTCCAAAAATTGTGAAAATACCATCCTACTACTGATTTTGTGAGCCATTCTATCTGTATAGGTAAAAGCTGCAGGTAAAATTTGGAGTACTTGCTTTTTCTGAGAGTATTTTTAAAATTTTTAGAACCAAATATGTTGGAGACGCCTCAACCAAATATAAAAACCCTATATAGTTTTGAAATCGGGAAATTGTGCTTTTCACGAATATAGAACCAAATATAGGGCATCCCATTTGAAAAAAAACTGCAAACTTGCAATATTTCACATTTCTGACATTCAATTTTTGTTTCTGACCATGGATTCTAAAAATTTAGCCAATATTGTACAAGTTTTGTATTTACACCTTTCATCTACTACCTGTAAAGGTAAATGCTGTACGTGGGGTGTAAATATATTTAAAAAAAAACCTGTATATAGGATTAAATTCATACTAACATGAAAAGGTTGAGGGGGTTATCAGAAACAGGGTGATACCAGTGGCGTACACTTGAATGACCTACTCAAATCAAATAAGAAATACACATAAGTCAAAGTTTAACAAATTGTCTTCTATTTAAAATAAATAATACAATATTTTACAGCCTACTAAAACTAGAAAACCTAGTGTTAAATGGGAATGCAATAAAGTTAACAACACAATTATATCCAATAAACACAAAAAGCACCAAAAATAATTGCAGTTTCACATATGACTAGATTAATACCTGATTTTGGTGCCTAACTTTTAAAACCTAAATAAATCCCTAAACAAATCAAGGCGACAAAGGAAATTGCTACAGCAAACATTATGACTTTTTGCTGTAGTGACCTCATCATCATTGTGTTTAGAATTCTGGCTGATCTGCTGATTTCTTGGTCAGTTTCCCTCAACTACAAACAAAATAATTAAAAAATATTTACTACAAATTAAATTTTTGTACCCTATTTCTAGACCTCTGTATTGTCTCTCTTTGCTCTGCCAAATTCTTCATTACATGGTTCCCAATTTCCTCAGTTTCTACAACAACCCTGTAGCCTTCGTTTAGTTTTCTGCCAGCCCTTTCAAGGGTTTCAGAATTGTCTAGTAGCCTTTGGTTTTGATTAAATGATATCCTAACATCAATATCTTCAGCACTGTCATACAAAGACTCTTGTTTGACTGTTCTTGCCTTAATGTATTCCAAAGTAAGTCTTTTTAGTTCAGCCCTGTAACAATCCAGTTTGGTTCTGCACCTTTGCTTTTTGGTGGGTTCCACTTCTCGGACTTCCAAGTCCATTTGCTCCAACTAAAAATAATAGAGCTGTAAGTGAGGTTTTTAGGTTTCAAGACAATAATTACCAGTTCTTGTGCTTCCTCAACATGCTTTTCTATTTTTGAAATAAGCTGTCTACGGTCTTCTATAAGAAGGCAATAATAGTTTTAGATATATAAAGGTGAGATTGCTAGATTACTTACTTGAAGCTGAAGCTGATAGCTGACCTATTTGGGCAGTAATATCGGCAGTTAAACAAGAATATTGTTGCTCGTAGTTTTCAAATAACGAAACCATGATTTCTATAGTTTATTTTTACATTTTTAACAACAACACACCCTCTCTAACTTGAATCCTATAAATAATAATGTCAACAATGAAGATAAGAGTTTTTTCAGTCTAAAGTAAATTGCCACTGATGCCTTTATAATTATAAACAATTTAATTTATTTTTATTTGGATGAATGTTTATTTATTTATTTATAATTTTTTAAATTTGACAATAGGGCAACTGGCAACACTGCTTGGTGCATTCAAACTATCGTCCATTATGAGACAACCATTCCGATTTTCTATGAACTAGACAAAGATAGACATGGGTTAATAAAAGAAAACGCCCTCTGCTAAAAGAAAACGCTACAATTGTCAAAAGATTGTCAGAAGTGTCATTAATTTTTAATGGCTTCCAATAAGGTTTATTTTGATAAACTTTTTAATAAATTAAATTCGATAAAAGTGTAAGTGAAAATTCGCGTTTTTTGGTGAAAATGAACTCTTGGGAACTCGGTGCGGAAAGTGTCCCGTTCCTGAACTTATCGCAGGCGGCCGGACTGGTACAAACAGGTAATTTTTTTAAAAAGTTTTCACTGTTTTCATTAAGGAGAAAGGACATTTGTTTATTTTTAATGTTTTATTGGTTTTCTAGGGCTCAATTTAGTTTTTTATTAGTGGTTTTTGTATAAATAAAGCAATTTGGTTGGTGCGTAAAAGTTTTTTTAACCAAAATCAGCTGTTCTAGGGTGAAGTACTAGAAAGAAGATTTTTACGTGAATATTATTGTCCTAGATAATAATTTAGGGGGTTATCTCATCTGGGAATACAAGATATTGGTGCCTTTGACACTATTCTAGTAAAATTGATACAATTTTTTCTTGGCCCCACAATTTTTAACTCAATTTAAGGGCCGGTTTATTCATCTCCTGATAAACTGTCAGGTATGCTATCTGACATATAGAAACGCAATCTGTAATCCCATTGGTCTGTTGACCAATAGAATTAGTGCGACTACATCAATTGCTTGTTAAGCCTTTGTTAGTTAACAAATACCTTATCGCTGTTTCTACCAACTATTTTGGGGAAACTTACATGATATGATAAGTATTCCTTAAAAAGGCAGTCTTTCATAAAGAAACATCAGTTAAGGCTTCCCTAAAATAGTTGGTAGAAATGGCCACCCATATGCATATGACATTATTTTTGTATAGCACATTTAAAGTCATTGTTGACTAATCAAGGGGTTTCTCACCTTGTTAGTTGGTGTAGAATTCACTGGTTAATATATGTCAATACCAGGTAAATACTATGTCAATACTGTCAATACTATGCAATACTTACTTGATAATTATGTAGGTAATATATAGTGAGGCTCAGTAGACCTGGCCCCCCCCCAGTTGATAATTTTTATCCAAAACGCTAGCCCTCGTTCTCCAGAGCTAGCGCAACCTAGCGCAACTTTTTCGAAAGCTAGCGCAGCTACAGGTCAAAAGATATGTGGCTTTATATTCGGGGGGGGGGGGGGGGGCTAGGGTGACGCTAGCCCCCCCCAGTTATTCGATCTTCTCAAAAATGCTGGCGCACATTCGTAATACCTAGCGCAAGTTGTGTCATAGCTAGCGCAGCTATTGTAGCTGTCATACAGGGTGGACAAAAAAAATCATGAGCCCCTACAAGTGATTTTTAATTTTTCAAAAATATACAGGGTGTATATTTTAAGTGATACCACTATTGCTATATCCCATACGGTAAGTGCTACAGGGTCGGTTGAATTAGAAAAAAGTTGCCATTTTTGATGCCCATTCAAGACTCGTTTACAGTGTTGCCAAATTCCTTCTAGTTTATGAAATACAGGGTGATTTCTAAGAAACGCCTAAAAATATTTCATCAATTATTTCGGAAACTATTGAGTTTCGAGACATAATTTAAATTTGAAAGTTTTACAATTTCTTTCGCTCTACAACGTGGCATTTTCAAATTTTAAATCTGACGTTTCGTGATCGAGCTACCATCATCAACTTCATTTTTTTAAATACGGACCTGGATTTTTTATGTCATTTTTAGAAAGCGCCCTTTATTCCCTTTTTAACGATATACCTCTTAAGTATGATTGGCCGACGTTTCTGCTTTAAAAAGTGATCATCAGTGATTTTTACCCAAATTTTACCTTCATTCGGCCCTAGTTATGAACCTGTATTTCATAAACTAAAAGGAATTTGGCAACACTGTAAACGAGGGTTGAATGAGACTCAAAAAAGGCAACTTTTTTCTAATTTAACCAATCTTGTAGCTCTTACCCCTTCGGATATAGCAATAGTGGTATCACCTAAAATATACAACCTGTATATGAAGCGTCCTTAAAGCTAGCGCAAGTAAAATTCGAGCAACCGCATTACCCCAGTTCCTTACACTTACAGTAAAGAAAATTGAATGTTCCCTTAAATTTCAATAAATTTCACTAAAATACGAATATTTCGGAAATATTACATCACTAGTAATATATGTCAATACTTGTAGATATCTAGGAAATATATGTTAATGTGATTGATTGATACCCATTAATAACATGTAAATACCTGTGGATATGTCAATAGCTAGAAATCTGGCAAGACAAATATTTGATTTTAGGCTGTCAATAGGTATGGCAATACCTAGTAATATGTGATAATACTAGGGAAATACCTGGCAATATGTGGAAATATTTTGTTAATGCATGGAAATAGTTGGCAATAACTTGTTATCAGGTACCTACATAGAAATATCTGTTAATACATGTAATTATCTCAGTTAGTACTGTTAATCGGTGTACAAATTTTGTCAGATGAAAAAACCTTTAACCAGGCCTTAAGTAATCACTTTTAAATCTTGAAATCTAGGAGAAATGAATTGGAGTAATAAATAAAACTAAAAGTCTAACAATGACCAAGAATTAACAATTAAAATTCCCATGAAATGATTTAGAAAAATGCATTTTTCTAACAGAGACTTTGATTCTTGAGGACTAGGAAAACCTCGAGGAAAACTGTTGTTTTCGAGGTTGATTTACTATAGAACAAATCCAATCAGGAGCTGGATTAATGGAATAATTGTTTCTGAAAAAGAAAATTATCCCAATCAAAATCCAGGAATATTCAAAATTTGAATTTTAAAAATCACAGCTTGTGGCTATTTCCAGCTCTTTCATTTTTATTTAATTTTGTCTTTTGATGCTTTTTATTTATTTATCTTTGATTTCTTTAGTTTAGTACAATTATTACATACTTATGTATTTTATTTTTTGCTGATTGTTTTAAATGTTTATAACTCAGCTCATAACAATTACAATAAATCTGACAAGGTTGCAGTGGTAGAGGACGTCTCTGCACCATCTCCATTCAAGCAAATCTAATCTAATCTAATTTTTATTTGTATGTTTATTTATAGTTGGTCCTGGTTCAAATTTTAATATTATGTAATATGTGAGTACCCACTTACCTCCTAATTTATACCCAAGTTTTCTTTAATTTTTCACACACATTTCTAGTTGATTTCACCTTAAAAATCAGCAAAAAAGAGCCTCATAAATCTTCCCAGCTTGTATTAATCTCTATAATAGTTGGAAATTGGAGTGTTTTTATTTCAGAGAGCAAGGAATAGGATTTTCAAGCCTTTTGTAGGTAATTCAAATTCAGTTTAACAAGGTTCAAAAATTAACCTTTTAGCTTAATTTTAACTCCAGAATCATCACAAACCAGTCAGAGCGAATTTAGTTAGTAGAAAACTGGTGGTTGGCGATTTGCACCAATCAAAAACGCTCTGACTGGTTTGTAATTTCTGTGAGAACCGACCTAATCTTCATTTCCTTCTTCTTCTTCTTCAAGCTTTAAACTCTTTGTAGTCTCGGGTTCAGTTATTGGCTCATTTATTGGGAAACTCGTTGGGATATCAAATTTATTTCAAATTGTCTAGCACTCTGCCTAAAACTTAGTCTTAAAGGCAAATACACAATTGACCAGTACACTGTATCGTTTAGAATGTACGATATGCGATTTCTGGGTTAGAATGAGATGATATTTTCAGCGCTTACCACAGCGATTGCCAATAGATTTCTATGTGATTCTCATAGAGTCCTATGAGATTCCTAGCGATTTCCAGGCTATTCCCAGGGACTCCCAAGTGATTTCCATGTATTCCTGATTGATTATGTGATTCCCAAAAAAAATGTTCAATGATTTCCACTAGTGGTTTATCTTTCAGAATTTATGCAGCTACTTAGATGAGTTTTGAGGCTCTTTTTGTCCTTTCTCAAATGAACTCCACTCAAACTCAACTCTTAATTAAGTAGTCAGAAATCAGCGTTGACTAATTTAGAAGAGCCAGGAATAGGATTTTCACTCATATTCCTCTTAATAGGGCTCAAAAATGAGCGCAATTTTAAATCCATAATGGTCAAAAGTCAGAACTTCTTGGTCTAGAAGAGCAATCCAAAATTTAAACTGCTCTTAGTAAGTATTAGCTAATAATTCAAAAATAGACCTAGAGCTCTGGAACAGCCACTAATACAATTTTTTCGTTTCTTTAGTTCAATTTCAACTCAAGGAGGGTGAAAAATGAGCCTTATTAACCACTTTAGCTTAATTTCAATTCAAAAAGGGGCAGAACTACAGTTTGATGGTCTAGAAGGGCCATGAATAGAAAATCTGATTTTAAGCAAAAAATATGATGGTTTTCATGATTGACTGGCCAACTTTGTACAAAATAAACCAAAAAAATTAAAAAAATGCCAATTAATTCTTCAAAACATTCCAAGAGATTCCAAAAAACTCTAAAAATAAAATATTTCTGATTTTAGTTGTGATCCAGGAAGTTCCATTTTCCTAGTCATAGCAAATTTATTTTTGTATTTGCCAGTAATAAATAAAACTAAAATAATAACAATGACCCAGAATAACAATTAAATTCCTATGAAGTGATTAAGAAAAATACACTTTGAAGGACCAGGAAATTGCTGATAACTGTTGTTTGATGTGTTTAGTTTAGTAGAATTTTAATAATAGTTTATTTGCCTTTTATTCGTGAATAAAAATCCTAACTTTACTTTTGGGCTCAAGATCCACCTCTAATTTATTTTTCCATAAGTATAAAAGATACTCTATTTTATAAATCCTGTAAGTTTCAAATTGCTGTTATGACTTGAAATGAGTTACAATCTCCAACAACATATTTAAATCCAAGCTAATTTTGAAATTAAGAAAAAGAGCTTCAATAAAAATTTCTTCTTCCTTTGAAGAAGAGCCTTACTGGTTGAAAACAATTTCCAGAGAAATTTTCCTACGATTCTTGCAGCAATCTTTGAATTGATAGACGCAGCTGAGCACTATAAATACAATAATAATTTGAATTCGTTTAGCCATTAACTTTTCCATTATATTTCATCTTGTCAAGACTCTTGTCCATTGAAAATAATTCAAAAACTGACTTTTAAAAGCCTCCATAAAAAAAAAATGTTAATGTAGGTACCCTTTGATGTTGAAATTGATAAGATCAGAGAGGCCTCCTAAACGTGTCAGTTGCGATTGACGTTTGATTTT